CCCCCCCGCCATTAGAAATGGGCAAAGACATGAAGGGACACATCTGATGAGGATATACAGACAACAAATATACACATGGGGGGGGGGGGAAGTTCAGTTACTAGCAATTTAAAAAGACAATTTATGACGACAATGAGCCGTGGTTGGGGTGGCTTAGTTGGTTGCAGGTTAGATTCCTGGTCAGGGCACATACCCAGGATTTGGGTTCAATCTCCAGTTGGGTTGCATGTTGTAGGCAACCGATTGATGTTTCTCTCTCACATTGATATTTCTCCCTTGTGCTTTCCCTCTCCCTTTCTCTCTCTCTAAAAACAATAAAAACATATCCTTGGGTGAGGGTTAAAAATAAAAAGAATATTCTCAAAATGACAAAATTATAGAGTTGGAAATAGATTAGAAGTTGCCATGGATTAGGAGTGGTGGAAGGAGGGGTGACTATATAGGGAAAACAGTAAGAAGATCTTTATGGCATACATTGTATCAATGTCCATTTCCTGGTTTGATATTATACTAGAGTTATGGAAGTTATAACCATGTGAGAAATAGTGCAGGGTACATAGGACCCTTCTGCAACTTCTTCTATATCAGTGGTTCTCAACCTTCCTAATGCCGCGACCCTTTAATAGAGTTCCTCATGTTGTGGTGACCCCCAACCATAAAATTATTTTCGTTGCTACTTCACAACTGTAATTTTGCTACTGTTATGAATTGTAATGTAAATATATGCTATGCAGGATGTATTTTCATTGTTACAAATTGAACATAATTAAAGCATAGTGATTAATCACAAAAACAATATGTAATTCTATATGTGTTTTCCGATGGTCTTAGGCGACCCCTGTGAAAGGGTCGTTCGACCCCCAAAGGGGTCGTGACCCACAGGTTGAGAACCGCTGCTCTATACCTATAATTATTTCAAAATTAAAGGTGTTTCTTTTTTTGGAGCTTGAGGAAATGTCAGAATAGTTCATGGAATATAAAGCAAAAAGTGCAACCTTCCCCCTGAGAAGCAAGAACCAGGAAGGCACTCATGAATCAGCTCCCCCACCAAACCCCAGCCTCTCCTCAAAGCTGCTTCCTTCCATCCCTGCTGTAGGCACCATCCCTGCGGTGGACACCATCCCTGTTGTAGGCTCCATCCCTGCTGTTGGCACCATACCTGCTGTAGACACCATACCTGCTGGAGGCACCTACCCTGCTGTGGACACCATCCCTGTAGT